GTAGCTGTTTGCCCTTGGGCAAGTTACTTAACCCCTCTGAGCTTCTATTTCCTTCGGTAATAAAATATCTTCCTTGCAGTGTTTCTGTGGGTTTATATATCTTTTATACAGACACACTTAAGGACCTCTTGCACACTGTCTCACTCATTGCAGGCTGCTCATTGTGGTAGTTTTAGAGGAAGCAGTGGAGTTTTAGAGGTAGTTTTAGAGGTAGCTGGTGGTAGATAAAGCATCCCTAATACAAAATTTCAAAATCTGTAGTATTCCCATGAGCATTTCTTTTGAGTATCATTTTGACATCCCAAAAGTTTGAGATTTTGGAGCATTTCAAGTTTTCAGATTAGAGATGTTGAACTGGTATAATGCAGATATTCCATAATCTGCAAAAATGTGAAATTGAAAACACCTCTGGTCCCAAGTATTTTGGGTAAGGGATACACAACCTATAGTACCTGTGAGAGTATTAGCTGTACTTCAAACCCTGGATTGTATATACATATATGCACACATAATTTTTGTAGGTTGACTACAAACTTCTGTGAGTTTTGTTTGGATGGTGGAAAAAGAATGACTTTGACTGTTTTCTAATGAACGGAAGAGTTGAAGTATAGAATGAAATGAATATAAAGGGGCTTGATTTTAGGGATTCAACTTAGCAAATAAATATTGTGCCTCTTGGTACATGGAACTGAGCTGAACATTACGGAGGTACAAAAGCGATATAACATGGGCTTCTTCTTTAGTGATAGCAACCCTCCATTTGTGAGCAAAATCTATTTGTACTTCACATTTACAGATTCTTTTAGCAACATGAGAGTGGGATTTTGTATGGACTTGTTAGTCATGATTGAATTTTTCACCAGTCTTTGTGACTTCTGTGGACGCAAAAAGCTTTCTTTAGTCTTCAGTTCCTTTTTATTTTACTGTGCTTAATAAATCAGCTTCTTCTGTTTTACTCATTGACACATTTAAGATTTAGTTTCTGCCCTTCTCCCCCATAGCTGTGTCTGAAACAGCTTTCTTGGCACAATTCTAGTTCAAATCAAAATCAACACCAGAAACAAATTCAACCTAACAGACAGTAAAATCATTTCATGTTTCAAAAATATCTGTTCAGTTGCTCTTTTAACAGATATGAGACAATATGGCACCTTCAAAGTAAAATAGATCACTAGATATCAAGGAGAGAGAAACGCTTGAATGTGGGGTTGCTGTAAAAGCTTGTCACTTATGGCCAAAGTCAATCTGAACTGAGATTCCCTGGAGAATTACATCAATAGGCTAAAACCAAATGTCTGATCAGAACAAGTAATGAAATGTGAAATATTAGGAAATAATTGCTTAAGGTGAGAAAAAGTGATGGGTCATCTTAGTGGAGGCTGTCTAAACCTGAGCAATATCCACCGCTTCTCACCAAAGGAAGATGACATCCCTAACATAGTGGAGTCCAAAAAACCATCTGCTACTGATCCTGAGAGATACTGAAAATCTAATTTGCTGATCAGGACAGCTTTGATCTGGCTCAGGGCCTGGTGTCCTTTCCAGTTTCCATCACTCTGATGGGCACAAATGATATTTTCTCGAGCAATCTGAGAAGTTCTTTGGAGAAAAAATTCTGTTTCTGATTTGTGTAGTGAATTTGGGGGAATCTGGAGCATACAAGATGTGCCATCAGGATTGAGACCAAATTCTGAGACATTCTTTAAAATGGAATCTAAAGTGAAAGTGCTTGCATGTAGAATCTTTGCGCTCCCTGCCCCATGTCGTGGGCCAACTGTTGAATGCAACTTGCCTTTAAATTACACTGTCAGATCCTATATACATGTGTTGTGATTAATGGGGATATTCCATGTGGTTCCAGTTTTCATAATGTCATTTTTCTTCAAGATTGCCTGCTCTTTGGTGGTCTTTGCCTTTTATTTCTGAAGATAGACACAAAAACTCCAATACTGTGGCTTCTCTTAATGACGAAAACCCTGCCTTAGATCTTTCCAGCAATGTACACCTAAATATTGCTCCCTCTGATAGTAACGTCCTCATGAAATGACCCAGCTGGAACTTCCATTTCAAGCAGGATGAGAAGGGAGCGGGGGATGTTTTTGTTTCTTTTCTCCCCATTCCTTTTAACTACTCCTTTCCATCACCTTTCTCCTCCACCCCATCCAGCCCTAGCCACCAGTCTCAAGTTTCATTTCAAGTGGTTGAAAAAAATTATAACACAATGGGGATTTGGAATTACACAGACTTGCCTGCATTAATAGCATTTAACACTTCATTTGTGTTTATATATAAATGTACTAAGTGACTTTATATTAATTAAAGTATATGTTGTATGCATAGATACCTGGTCACTGTACAGACGAAGCATATTCCTATTGCAAATGCAAGATCATAAAATTTTGATTGTTCACATTTGAGGTTGGCTGAAGGTGGTTATTTATTAGACTCAAATGCTGCACACACTTGGAGTGTTTATTCTGGATTTGTTTCTGTGCATTGAAAGTGTCTGGTGCAGCTGAAGAATAAGCAAGGAGAGCCAAGTGGGGAAATATCATGAAAAGTCTTGAATCCAGGCACAAATCATTGAAAAAAAAAAATAAAACTTGAACAAAGGAATGTGACCATGGGGTGAGGTAAAATAGGAAGAATGCAGGCAAGGCCGTCTCAACAACAGCAGATCTGGACACCTGGAAACAGGCTACTTCTGGGGTGTTCATGCATTGACTTAGGGCTTTGGAAAATCAGGCTGCAAATTCACCCATAATTTCAAATGAGGCAGCAATTCCTTTTCACAATCCAGCAATTCCTCTTCTGGAATTAACGATTTGAAGGAACTGAAAACAGGGTCTCAGAGAGATTTCTGCTCCCCCATGTGCGTTTTCAGCCTTCTTCACAGTAGCTGAGAGGTAGACGCCACCCATGTGTCCATCAACAGATGAATGGATAAAGAAAATGTGGCATCATGGAATATATTCAGCCTTATAAAGTAAGGAAATCCTGTCATATGGTACAATATTGATAAACCTTCAGGACATTATGCTACATGAGATAATCCTATTATGAAAAGACAAATACTGGATGATTCCACTTACATGAGGTATGTAGAGGAATCAAACACATAGCAGTAGAAACAAGAATGGTGGTTGCCAGGAGATAAGGGGAGGGAGAATAGGGAATTGTTCAATGGGTACAGAGTTTGACTTCTGCGAGATGAAAAAACCTAGTGATATTGTACAAGCTTGTACATATGGTTAACAACATTGTACTGTATACATAAAAATTGTTCAGAGGGTAGATTTATGTTATATGCTTTTTAACAGAGTAAAAGAATACCTTTTAAAGTCAACAATGAAAAACCCGATTTCTTAACATAGAAGTGGGTAGGGCCCTGTTTACCCAAACATCCTGCAAGCATCAGATGTCGAGGTTCAGTAGATGGCTTCAGGGTTTTTGCACACCGTTCACTCATTCAGGAACGCACAGTGAAAGGTTTGACTCCTTCCCCACCACCCTATCTATGGAGTTCTATAGATCTTTGTTCATTCTTTCACTCCTTTTATATCAGTACCCACATCCATCTAGTACAGGTAATCTGATAACATTAGCATTGTCAAAAGGAACGAAGAAAGAAGAGTAAGAACTTACGGTCTCATGTGAAACTAAATCAGCCAGAATGCCTATCTAGATCCATGAGAGGTCATAAAAGAGTCTACTCAGACATCTTCGTGTGACCTAGAATAAACTTCTAAGTGAGACTCTGTCTCTAAGGAGCTATAAAGCACTTTGTTCTTGTGAAGATCAAATTTCTTTTCCAAACCAAATTTAACTGATTTTCACACTCCTCTGGAAAGAAGCACTTTGAAGGAGAGGGCTTTGTTTTCAGCTGCCTGGATCCCCCTTCACCTTTCTGCTGACCTTTATCTGTAATATATGGTAATATACTTGCCTTGATGCCAAAGACAGATACTAATAGTCTTCCAGTAACTTCAATGAGACCACTAACTCCTCTCACAGCCCTCTATACTCCCCCAGAGGTGATAATGTCCCCAAGAGGTCAAAAAATGGATTCTTGTCCAAGAGAGAGGATTTTAAAAATCTTAGAGCTATTACAGTGGTTTCTAGAATCTTATTCCATAGTATTTAAGTAGAATTTAAATTTAATGTATTTTTTTCCATAGTGAGAAAATAATGAAACAAAGGTTGAGAAACATTGCCTTTGCTGGATGATAATATTATTCCGTCACAGCTGAAGTGAACTGGATTTAAGCCAAGAGGATAAAAATGACTTAGTTCTCACATTTTGATTAAAAAATAAAATGGAGAAATAACTAATTTTCTCTAATATACAAGCTTACACTTAGTGCTGTAATTGCATATCAAGTACACTGGCTTCAGCCTTATTTTTAGTATCCATGTTATGTCTTTGAGGAACTCTTGGTTCATCCATGCAACATTTCTATTGATTCTAGAAACAGGTCCACAACCAAAGGTTCTTTCTATGGCAGAGCATACTTTTGGCTTGAACCCCCAAGGTAACAGTTCTGGGCTGCAGGGACTGTGTACTTTTATTCTGTATGTTGCCAATGCCTGCTCAGTGTCTGGATTTGATACAATGTGTTTGATTCTTTTAAAATGTTGGGGCAAGGAAAGAACTTCAGTTTTAACCAGAACTGGCACTAGGGAGAAGCAAGCAAGATGCTTACAGAGCAAAATTTAAAGAGGTATTTGCACAGTCTTTGTGTTTTCATCCATAGGCTCATCCTGGTTTTCACCCTGGTTTTAACAGAAATGGAGTTCAGTTTCCAAACCCTTCCCTTTTCAGAGTTGATCTACGCAGGCAATTCTCTGGAAGTGATATGATTTACAGGCTTGTAGGAACAAGGAATTTAAAACAAGTATTTAACATATACCCCTATTCTATTTTTGTGAGTATATTTCTTTCTACTTGCAGATAACTCACATTGGCCTCAGAGATCTAAACTTTTCACTTTGTTTTCCAGATCACTACAGATCTGAGGCAGCGTTGCACGGACAACCACACTGGGACGTCGGCCTCAGCCCCCATGGCTGCAGGCATCATTGCACTGGCCCTGGAAGCCAAGTAAGCCTTGATCTCTATATGTCTTCAATGGTGACAACCCCTGATCTCAGGGAAAACGTACCCCTTTCCTTGTATATGGCCCCTAGCACGACAACCTAGAATATAATCTTCCCAATCCCACCTTTAAAACTTCAAAGGTTTGGGCTTTAAAAAAAAAAAATTCCCCTATATTAAGAAGATAAGGTTTTTGGTTTTACATGCTTAAAAAATCAAACTGTGTAATTACTTTATTATGGAGTCATAGCACATGCATGCCAGTTGGCTCCCTCTCTTGCCTTGTTGAGGTTTTTATTCTAGTCTGGGAATGTTCCTGAGCGTCCCAGAGAGGTTAGGGCTGCCCATTTCTGGTCCCTTGCTCTGAAGCATGACTAGGCAGCTCAGATTCCACGACAATAGCACAGTCACAGACTGGCTCTGCAGAATAGAATATGCCAGGGATTAGGACAACCCACTTATATCAAATCCTGTTCAATATAGTCAAATTCTATGTCAAAAAGATTACTGTGAAAGACCCCTTTAGGCTATTTGTAAATAGGTCCCCATCTCTTTTTTTTCTAAGAGCAAATAGGTTAATTTGTCTTAACTTTTTGAAAACCTAATAATACAGATCTAAAATCTCTTGTCCTCAATTTTAAAATGCTAAATGCCAGGAAAACTGAATGTTCTTTTGCAAATTTAACACTGGAGTTCATTTTTTGGCAAAGTTTGCCATATACTTATTTGAGGCTATTTACAGTATTATTTATAACATTTATTGTGAAATATTCATGTATTTGATTGTGAGGTGCTGGCTCAGCCCCCCGCTGGAGGTTTTGTGTCATGTATGTTACAGGCACCATCTCTGAAAAGAATCTGAATTCCAAACCCGTCTTGTCCAATTTTAGAATAGGGGTGGAAGGCCTGTTCTCTGAGGCTCTCCCTGCCGGAAGATCATAAGAAAAAGGAACTGAACTAATGATATAAGCGGTATTCTAAAAATAGCCTTGCACCTCTGCCCTAGGGAGGAAGGGAAAGGCCCATTCATCTAGTTGTACCCTGAAGTAGCGCAATAGCCAGTGACAGGGAAGGAATATGAAGATAATGAAGAGGCTTAGCGATTACAATAAGAACTGTGTGGCTGGGCGCAGTGGCTCATGCCTGTGATCCCAGCACTTTGGGAGGCCGAGGCAGGTGGATCACAAGGTCAAGAGATCGAGACTATCCTGGGCAACGTGGTGAAACCCCATCTTTACTAAAAATACAAAAATTAGCTGGGTGTGATGGCGGGCACCTGTAGTCCCAGCTACTGGGGAAGCTGAGGCAGGGGAATCGCTTGAACCCGGGAGGCGGAGCTTGCAGTGAGCCGAGATCGTGCCACGGCACTCCAGCCTGGTGACAGAGCGAGACTCCATCTCAAAAAAGAAAAAAAAAAAAAAAAGAATCATGCTAGTTCATTCTCAGGACACGGGTAATTTCCCAGCATTCGCAGCTGCCCCTCTGTAAGACGGAGAGCCTATGTTAAGGCAGCTGGACCTGAATATAACGTGGATACAGTAAATTGCTAAGTCATGTGTTGGACTGAAACTGGGGGAAGAACATGGGCTGTGGATATGGTGCCCTGTCTCTGGGTGGCCTCTTGCCCAAGCCTTGACATTGAGAGATATCCAAGCCCACATGAACATTTGGATTTCTTTCTTTTTGACGAGGTTAAATATGAAGTCATTTTCAACATATTACATCTTTTAAGGTGTTAAAAGTTTGGGTTTAGCAAGGAACTGGCACTTATCCTATTAAATTCTCACTTTACAACTTTTCACTAACGTGTTCTGGCAGCAGAAGTCTCAATTAAGTGTCTGTGTTTTTAATTTGGTGAACTCTACCCAGGAGTTTTGAAAAATACATAGTTTTTATTCTGAAATTCTAGATTGTTTCTCTGGAATATGTTTCCACAAAATATTAAAAGAAAAAACATTAGGAATTCCTCTGTCCTGCTCTCCCTCAAAGGCTATCTCAAACTAAAACTTGGCAGCCTGATACTGTAACTATTGCTACATAGAATTAGGTGATACTCAGTTCTTTGAGATATTACTATAACACTATTATTTAAAAAAAAAAGTTGTTTTAATCATGATTTAAGCTGAAATGTAAAAATCTTGCTTTGTGCCTCAAATAGCCTGAGATAAGGTCACTTCGGACTGCGTAACACATTGAAAGACTACAGCTGTTTTTTTTTTTCTCTCTCTCTTTTGCATTTTGAGCATTTATAAAGATCTATTTTTGACAAAACTGTGATGAGTAGAAGGAAGTTCCTAAGATACAGGCTACCTGGAAAATCCACTGTGTTTTAAGATGTGAACAGTCCACTCCAATTGTGGGGCCAAAATGGATGGTAAACTATCTGATAAACTGAGAAAGAACAAACCTTTTTTTGTGACTCCATTGGTTTGTTGTACAGACGAATATTTGCCTGTAAAATGAAGCTCAAAATTACGGGAAAGAGGTCTGAGTTACTAAAAGGGTGGGTCAGATACTGATGTTAAATTAGCATCAATAAGCACTGGGCCTCCAGCTTAATGTGAAACATACCTAAAACTAAGAAATTAAAGAGAGGAGCTCCAACTGCATTAAGGCTGCAGTTGCTCTAAATCTAAACCTATTCCTTGTACATGTGCCTCACTCATTTACCCAGCCCCACCCCTTGCAATCTCCTCTTACACTATTACTTCTCAACAGCACTTGAACTTTGGTATTTTGAGATTCAGCCTTTACTATCACAAGTTGAGGAGCAAGATCTACAAGATACTCTCTTTTAAGAGGAGAGGAGAGAAAGCCACAGAGTTAGGCAGAGTTATGACTGAGGATACTGCCCTATTCGCTGGGAATGCATGGCCTGTCAGGGTTCATTTAGTAACTGGATATGCTGAGCCTTTGAATGAAAAGCTGCGGGTGTCTGCCAGTCCCTATTTAACTGCATGTCCTAGCTATCTCCGTACTATCAGGAGAAAAGTATTGTTTCTCTGAACATCACTAGATTACTGTATTTACTCAGTCCTAGGAACATTAGAGAAAACTAGATCCTGAGCTTTTCCCCAGCCTCCTTTCCTTACGTTCCAGATGTCTGCCTGCATGGGTAGGACTGTGGTGCCTTCTGTGATGCTGCTTCTACCATTGGCCTCTCTGCCATTCGAAAGCCTTCCCAGGAAACTTGAGGGAAAAGAAAATAAATACATCCATCCTGTAGTCCTAGCTACTCAGGAGGCTGAGGCAGGAGGATCCCTTGAGCCCAGGAGTTCAAGGCTGCAGTGAGCTATGATCACACCAGATTCTATTGCACTCCAGCCTGGGCAATAGAATGAGATCTTATCTCAAAAAAAATGTCGTGGGGGAGAAAGAAAAAGAAGTGGAATGAAATACAAAACATAGAAACAGATAAAGTATCCAGATCTCTTATTCAAACATAACAAGTTTGATCATGAAATAACTTTGCTAAGGCTGGGCGCAGTGGCTCATGCCTATAATCCCAGCACTTTGGGAGACTGAGGCGGGCAGATCAGCCACCTTTGACAATCTCATCATGAGTCTTGCTTTTCTGCTAAAGTGGGAGATTTCCTCCTTGCTCTCAAAGATGCTTCCAAAAATTATGGACAATTTCAGAATAAGAGAAAATACTTTAATCTTATGAGGGGAGAAAAAACTTTTTGTGTTGTGGTACCCTCAGAACATTTTTATTGGTTCAGAGGGTTTAACAGTACGAATTTTGTGTGTGTGTGTGTGGATTTTTTTTTTTGGTAACTTTCTGGTGTTTCAGCTAAGTGAATAGGGAACATGTAATCAGTGATTATAGGATATCATTTGGGCTATTGCTGCTTAAATGGTGTCTTTTTACGTAACCTAACTCAAAAAGTTCAAATAAAACGAGTATGCAAGGAAACAGGTTTATTAAATGAAAAACCAAAATGAAAGATGGCTGTACTAATTTTAGCTTAGCAACCTGGCCAGGACACCTTCTGTCTGTAAGTGTTTTGCATCTAGATCCTAGTGTATGCTCCTAGTGCTATGGACCTATGGGGAAAAAAAATAAAAGAGCTTGCTGTTAAATGATGGTTTGTATTAAATGGTTTATAAAATAAAGTCTAACTAACATTCATGAAAGTACAGAGTGCTCAGAATAATAAGTTGTACTGAAAGTTTTCCTCACCCATCTGCAATTATTAGCAAAGAAAAGCTTATTTTAGTGGAATATTTCATATGTAAAAATATCAGCATCAACTCAGGAAATACAAAAATTAAGTTCATCAAAGGAACCTTTCTTCTTCTAATTGCAAAGGGTCTTTCATTGGAAAATCGAAGAATATATGTTCAGTGATCAAGAAACGTTACACTATACTGTGAATGGTAAATAAAAGGGACTGAGTCAGGTTGAAACATCTGAAATTATCTAAAACTTCCTAAAAGGGTATTGGTATAAAGAATCTCCTACGAATTCTTGCTGTAAGTGACCCCAAAGCCTTTTTCTTACATTTCATATCTCAGAGGCCACAAGAATACCTTACTGTGCGAAAACCCAATATATCTAGATCTAAATTTAGAAAATAAATTAAAATAACAGCTGCTCTTCTACAGTAGAAATATACCTGATGCATATTGAACATTAGCTCCCTCTGGTATCTTATATATGCACATATATATACACATTCACATGTTTCTAGGTAGGCTCATCTACTTTCTCCTTATTACTTATCTTTTCCCTCCTATTGCAAATTAAATTTAAATTCCTTGAGAATAAGGATTATATCTTATCTTTATTTATGTGTATATAACCAATATATTGAACGCTGCAAAAAATTAAAGCATACTAGGCACTAAGTTAGGGCATAATTCAAATATGTATAAAATATATATCACTTGCTTTCAGGGGATTATATATTCTCATTAGGGAAGCAAATGTACACTAACAGATATATGCAAATTATTTAAGGAATTCAATGAAATCATTCTGGGGGGAAGGTTGTAGAAGGTGC